TACCCTTGACTCCAATAACACTGCTTTTCCCTGTGTCCCTCCCACCCTGGAACAAAAGTGGCTTCCTGTCATGGGGTATCTCTTGTTGCCTCACTGTGTCCTCTGATCTCTCAGCTTCTGTATCCTTTGTGTAGTGAAGGGGCAAAAGAGAATAAGACAAAATGACTGCCTTCAAGGAGCTCAGTCAAGTTTGGAAGGTGTGTGATCTGTGCTCTGTTTGGGTGCCATGGGAGCTGAGAGGAGACAGCACCTAGACTGAGGCCATAGTGAGAAAGATTTCACAGAGTAGATGACATGTCGGAGTCCTGCCCCAGCTAAGACCTTGCCTTGTGCTTAAATAAGAAGGGTATTATCCACAGAAGCAGTGGTGTGTACAAGAACGTGTTGCAAGCATGGCTGCATGAGAGCTTGCAGGGAGAAAAGTAGTGGAGGCACTTTAAGAATAGAAGGAACTTGAGGAAGCTAGAAAGGGAGTCAGGGGCTAGATCACAAAAGGCCCCGAAGATTCCACCAAGCATTTGGACTTTTCCTTGTCACTGATTGGGAACAGTGAGTTGCAGCAAGTAACAACCGCAACATGTGTTTGAGGTTCTGAGCCAGCTATATTGCAACACTATTCATGGTTTAAGGAACTCTGGTAGCATAGTGGTTACGAGTCGGGCTGCTAACCTGAAGGTCAGCAGTTCGAAACTACCAGCTGTTCAGTTGGAGGAAGATAAGGCTTTCTGCTCCCATAAAGATTTACAGTCTCGGAAACCCTGTACAGGGTTGCTATGAGTTGGAACCAACTCCACGTCATATAACCACCAACCATCACCATAGGGTTGCTGATGGGATTAAATGAAACATGTATGTGATGCACACAGCACACGTCTTGCCATAATGTAAGTACTCACTAAATACTCACTGTTCATCATCACTACTGCCTATGCGAGCGAGGTCTGCCAAGGCCCAGTAAAGAATGATGTGGGATTCAAATACCAAGGATCCTTGCTCTTCTTCCAGATGAACACTTGGCTCCTTTGTAATCACTTTATATTCATTGCAAAGAAAATTCTGGAACATGCTGTCGTCCAGACAAGTTAGTCTTTTGAGTCTGCATGTTTGAGTTTTCAAGTCACCGCTTTGATCATATCAGCCATGACTTCGGGCACTTCCAGAAACATGTTTGAAGGCCAGCAGGTGGCAGGTGTCACCTTAGAGGAGCCTTAGGCGTTGTTATCTCTGAAACCTTCCAGATATCAATCACCTGGCTCCTCATTTGAGTTCAGCGCACACTGATTGAGCACAGCAGTTTTTCCAGGTTCAGTATTAGGATTCAGAGAGTGGACAGAGATAAGTTCCCATCCTCATGGAACTTAGTCTAGTGAAAATATATGCACCAGCTTTAGTCCACTGTCATAAGCACAAATGAACATATGTAAAAGGTCAGAGGTACACAGGAAGGGGAGTAGGTTTTACAAAGGGGATGACGTCTCCGAAAGAGTTTGAGGGAATAAGAAAAGGGAGGGTCAGACACACCAGCATGATTTGTAGAGGAGAACTGGACCTCCGGGCGTGAGTGGAGACGTGGTAGGAGCTAGATCATGTGAGAGCTTGGCCTTTTATACTTTGTTGTTGTTGTTGTTAAGTGCCATCAAGTTGGTTCCCACTCATAGCAACTCTGTATAGGGCCTCCAAGGAGTGGCTGGTGAGTTTGAACCACCGACCTTGCAGTTCCAACGGATCTTGAGGTCGATTGCTTATCCTCTGGTGCCACACCAGGACTCCTTTTATAATTTAGCAACAGAATGATCAGGTTTGTATTTGAACATTATCCCGCTAGCAGGCCTATGGAAGATAAACCTGAGAAAATCTGTTATTTTTAGCTATCAATGGAGTCCTGGTGCAGTGCGGTTCTGTGGGATAAGCACTGGGCTGCTAACTGCTAGGTTGGGAGTTCAAACCCAACAGCCACTCTTTAGAAACACTATATAGAGTTTGAGTTGGAACTGACTCACCTAAGAGCAGTTAACAAACAGCTGGCCATAACGCCAGAGCACCAACTCAAACCACACCCTACTGTAAAGAATTTAAAGCAGATTAATGCTATTCCTAACATTTACTTCTCTCCAGCTTCAGACATTGAGCTCCTAGAGGGCAAACACCATGTCTTTTTCACTTTGTGAAGCCCTCCGTACAGAACCTCTGGCCTGTGGGGGGCGTGGGAGGGAACACTGCACTTTCCTTGTGAGTAGAGACAGAGTCTCCGTATCCTCAGTAGCGTGTGCACTACAGATATTTCAGAAAATTGTTGGACTGAAGACAGCCCAAGTTGAATTTTCCAGTGCTGCATCCTATCCTCAGAACACACTGACCTGGACCTCCATCTGTCACAAACAGCTTGACTAAGATCATCATAAATTCTTTTTTTCTTGGCATTCTTTTAACTGGAACTCTCTATTTACTAGCCCCTCCGTGCAACTGTAGTGTAGTGATGATTGATGCTTATAATTCTGACCCTGAAGTACTCCAAGCCTTCTAAATCATCAAAAAAAGATTAAAGTATATTCAATACTGCTCTAATGTTTGTGTGTTTTACTGCATTCTGATCCTCTGGAAATTGATGGTTTATCAAAGGCCTGTGTATACATGTACACACAGTCACAGTGAAAGGCTGGGACCAGCCACAACTCTGCCTCCCCTACAGGGCCAGGCCCAGGGTTCATTAGCAATGCATGCTCAAAAATACACAAGCAAAACAAACCCGGGTTTCTCGTCATGCTTAGGAGGAGGAAGCATGTTGGTCCCCAAGCAGCAGACTGGACAGAAATGAGAGAGAAATCGCTGGCTAGGAAAACAGTGGGAATGATAAAGCAAGATGTGGTACTGAATGGGGAGGCAGGCAGCTCACTAGCAGCCTCCACTGACCAGGAAGGATAGGGCTCAGGTGGGGGACTGGAGGCTGGGGTGGGGGTGGGGTTGCCCCATAATCTTGTGCACCAGGACACAAATCATCAGGCCTCCGTTTGGCAGGATTCTCCATGAGCTCCATTTGTACTGCAGCAATAGCCGCTCAGTCAAATGCCAGACGCTAGCAAGTGCAAACATCAGTAATGAGAGCATCCTGTTTCCCACACACATCTTTTCCTGAATACCAGTTTTAATGCAGCTCTGACTCCAGGATTAGGCCCAGCATGAAAACCCCAGAAGAGGTGATGTGAGATGATTCTGTTTTGTAACCTGGGTTCCACAAGGAAGGGCGTGATGTTGTCATCATAAGGGAGCCGTTTGCTGTTCGGGTTTCCTTTCGGAGGCTGTATTTTGCTGTAATGGATTCCTGGTGTGGTGCTGCAAGATAATGCACTGGACTGCAAGGTTGGTGAATCAAATCCACCAGCCGCACTTCGGGAACCCTGACTATGAGTCGGAACTGTGACAGCACTTGACAACAAGGACATACTGCTGTTAAGTAGAGGTGTCTCAGTTTCGTTGTGTAGATTGGTTTTTTAAAATCTGCGTCATCAGTTCTTCTGCCTGTGTCAGGGAGCTACAATCATCATCCCTGCCTGAAGAGCCATACCTGCTGACTGTTAATTCAGAGACGTCTCTTAATCTGCCTGGTTCTTAGCTTTTCCTTTTTCTGGAGTGTTGGCAGAATAGAAATGTCTTCTCTACAGGGTTTCTCTAAGGCTGAAATAAAATAGGTGATGTGACGATGCTTGCTTACATGGGAAGCCCTATATAAATCGGTATTGTTGTTAGCTGCATCAAGTTGGCCCACAATCCAGAGAGTGACTGCATGGAAGATGGAATGAGGTGTTGCCATCTCCAAGATCCATTGTGGATTGAACCACTGTGAGTCGCAGTGTTTCCACTGACTAATGTTTGGAAATGGATCTCCAGACCTTTTTTCCTAGTCCATCTTAGTCTGGAAGCTCTGCTGAAACATGTTTAGCATCCTAGCAACACATAAGCCTCCACTGACAGACAGGCAGTGGCTACACATAGGATGCATTGTCCAGGAATCGAATCTGGGTCTCCCACATAAAAGCCAAGAGTACTACGACTGAACCTCAATGCAAGTTAGGTAAGAAAGTCTCAGAGACCAGGAAATTGAGGCCCCTGGTCACACAGTTGCACTATACAGAGCAGAAGTGAGATTTGGACCTGCCCTCCGGACTCCACAACTCATAGCTCATTCCTTTACCATTTGATCTCTAGTTGTCTAGCTGGTTCCCAAACCCTAAATTCCTAAAACCTGTTCAGTTCCTTTGGGATTGGGATGTTTGCTCGCCCTGTCTTGGTCATTAGCCTCTTCACATAGAACAGGGTGGGGTCCAGAAGGAATTCCTGAGCCCAGGAGGCCCAGATGAGATGAGCAGTGCAGGAATCTGCAGTGGAGAGGTGGACACACACTCAGAGTTCCTCTTTAGGGAGTTGGCCAGGCCTGGTGTGAAGCCCCTGAGAAAATGTCGTCAGCCCTCTAGTTTCCCAAACGCCACTCAGTCCTCTGCAAACAAAGTGAAGCAGGCTCTGTCAGCCTCCTGCCAGGGCCTTTCTGTGCATAACTCACTGAGGTTTGGTGGGTTGTTTCCTGGGCTCTCCTCTCTCAGGAACCCACGCTTCCTCATGGACTCCTACTGGCTTCTTCTTTTGCCTGAAGAAGGAGCCAAATAAGTGTATTCCATGTAAAAACCACCCCACCAGATTTTTCTGGAAGTCTTACATTGATGCTGAGTCGGGGCATGGGGGTGGGGTTAGGATACACCCATGTGGCAGCTCATTTTAAGTGCCCTGTTGGACCTCCGCCACAGCCATTTTCTATCTTTTTAAATGAAGTTTTCCTGATTCCCAAGCAAGCAGAGTTGACATGTGAACTTGAGCTGCCCACTCAAAGAACCAGAGATAATGCCCCCGTTGAAGGGCCACATTGAATATTCACTGAGGATGTTTGTGTGTGGGAGAAGCAATTGTTCAGAACTCAGATCTGAGAGGAGCTGTGTGTCATGTCCCCGTAGGTTCTCAACAGGAGATGTGTCGAAGCCGCTGTGATGACAGGCCTGGCACTGAACTGCCGCATAAACAAGAAGTCCTTGTTTGACAGGAAGCACTACTTCTATGCCGACCTCCCTGTAAGTGTACTGTGTGAGGGATTGGGCAAGTTCTCTCACTGGGCCGGCCCTGCCCTGCCCTGCCCTGGGAAGGGGGTGGTGCCTCACGCTTCCAGCCAGGGCTCTGTCCATCCCAGCAGGAAGTTCTGCCAGTCCTGATGAAGGCAGGTGCCCCCTGATGTTTACTAGATTGGATGCAATTGTCCTGATTGCTGACTCCTTGCTTAACCTCATGCTTCTGGTAGCAGGCTCATAATTGAACAGGGAGTAGAAAAAGCTAGTATTCTCAGGCTCAGCCCAGCCGTGGTGTTCAGTGCTTGTTACCTGTTAGCGCTGTGGCTGATGTGAGGGTAAGTGCATATTGAAGCTCTGCAGACATTGGGAGAACCTCTCTAAGTGGAAGCTCCCAGTGATCCCACTGTCTCCTTAGGAGACATTTCTGTAGTCTCACAAGGAGCCAGTAAGTGGACAATACTAAGCAGAGTCATGAACCAGAAACCCAAACTACACAATAGTCATTGAACATTAAACCCAATGTTAGCTGGTTCTTTGCTTCATGTTAAAAATTGTATTTTCTTCTTTAAGTGAAGCCAGGGTGGCCAAGAGCCAATGTTTCATAACGTTGAACTGGAACAGAACTGAAATATTGAGTTGTTGCTGTTACCAACTCATAGCGACCCTGTGTAGGGTTTCCAAGGAGAAACTGGTGAGCTTGAAATGCCGACCCACAGCGCCACACCCCCAAATAATATTTCTTTAGCTCTGAGCTTCGAGTAGTAAGTATGGCTCAAATTCATAGTAGAGATGCTATTGCTGCATCCCCTCTTTCTTGAACTGAAGGTGGAAAGTGAGCTGTTTTTAGTGGGTAAAGTGAGGAGAATGAAATAAACAATGAAAACTAAGGAAGGAATTGCTCCTTCTTTTCCCCTCTGGCTGCCAGCCAGCCTTTTAGCAAATTTTATTGTCTAGTAGGGTGGCGAGAAACTGCCGTTTTCTCTCTTTTAAGAGTAAGTGATCAGTTTGGTTAAGATGGCAATGAGAACTGGCCAAACTGTAGCCTTAAGACTATGGCTTTCTGTAAATAGCCTATGTGATCCAGTTACTCAGATAATCCAGAATTAAGGATGACAAGTATCACATGGGAGAGATACTGCAAAAGTGTGTGATGTATAAGTACTGATGTTACTGGGTGTTCTGTATTTTATCTGGCAACCCTTTTCAGAGTTTAATTTTACACACTGAGACGACTGTAGCCTAGGGCAGTGGCTCTCAAAGTGTGATTTCTCCAATCCAGTAACATCTGCCTCTTCCAGAAACTTTTAGAGATATACATTCTCAGACCCCCTCCCAGACCTTCTGAATCAGATACCCTTGGGGTGGGGCCCAGCATTGTGTTTCTGAGAAGGCTGCCAGGTGATTCTGATGCAAGTAAAATCACTGACCTCCTCGTGGTAGAAGCCAGACAACCTGAGTCCTGTTGCTGACTTTGATATAGCCTCTGTGAATGCAGAAAAAGCCCTTAACCTCTCTCTGCCTGGTGCCCACAATAGAAGGTTGTTATCAGAAGGGAGTGAGGACAGTACCTGGGACCTATCGCAAGTGCTATTGGATACCTTTGCTGTTATTCTTTGTTCTCCCCCAGTTCTCCTTCCTGACCTTCTATTTCTTTAGTCTTTGTTGATGCATGTGCGCATTTGAACACAATTCTTCCTTTCCACTTAGAAGGAAATGAGGGAGTCCTTGCAACATCTGTCGCTATTTCAGCCCTCTGTGCTTCCCATTAGCTGACCCGCCAGTGCTACCGCATTAACTGGCTGGAGGAGCACGAGAAGTCAGGGCAGGGAGGCAGCGGCATGATTGGTTTGGCTTAAAGAGCAGAAAGAAAGCCAGCTTCACTGCACTTACAATTGCTGTCTGATGAGTGGAGAGAAGATGGCAAAATGCTTCGCCAACACTTCCTAATAAGGAGGGCCTGTCAGGGGCCCAGGAATCAGATGCAGGGTTTAGGCTAATGAGCTAAATGGAAACAGTAAATTCTGCTCTTTGGTGCTCCTGACAGTGAGACTATTCTTATTTCTGAATATGGCACTTGGGGAAGGAACATGGAACCCTGGTTGTTATCAGTTATTGGGAGGTGGGAGAAGGATACTGGCAGGGCGTCACGGGACAGGAGACGCCAGAGGCCAGACTAAACGATGGCCAAAACGCATAAACCAATTATCTTTTTCGTTTCTTTTTTTCTTTGAAGCCTATAGCTTTGTGACACAAGTAGGAATAGTAAGCTGGATCCCAGCTTTTATTTCAGGTGAACAAACCGGACTAGTGATCATAACCCGTAACCCGTGCTTGCGTGCAGGCAGGGTACCAGATTACCCAGCAACGGCTTCCGATTGCTGTGAGCGGGATCTTGACATACGGCGTCTGCGAGGGGAATAAGCGGAATCAGATAATCACCAAGACAGTGAGGATCAAGCAGATCCAGCTGGAGCAAGACAGCGGCAAGAGCCTCCATGACCACCCGCAGTCTCAGACGCTGGTTGACTTGAACAGGGCTGGTAGGCTTGGCATTTCTTCACTACCTTTCCTTCCACTACTGCAGTTGTTGGGCTTTGGGCTTTACCTCTGTCCCTCTAGAGTTTTCCCAAACCACCTTAGGAAACCAACTGAGGAGCTCAAAATATAAGTATTGGCGTAAGTGATTAGAAAGCAGGACTAGAACTGGGACTTCCATTGGACTTGCTAATAATTACCTCTAAAATCAAGCCAGTTTACCCTCCTATTCTTGAACCCTACATTAGGAAAGCGAAACAATCCTAAAGCTAGAACCATTGTAAGAGTCCCTAAGTGATGCAGGTTTGCTCTGAGACTTCAGCCTCGTGCATCAGTTGGGAGAGGTGGAGCTGACTCTGTCTCCCTTTGGCAGGAGTTGGACTTCTGGAGGTGGTTATGGAGCCTGACATGACCTGTGGAGAAGAGGCAGCGACAGCTGTCAGGGAACTGCAGCTGATCCTTCAAGCCCTGGGGACGAGCCAGGCAAACATGGCAGGTAGAAGCCAAGAAGTATTGCCCTTCTTCCTTCACAGACTACCTTTCTGCCTCCTAAAGCTCCTCTGACTTGAGCTTTGCTTCCTTGTCTGCAGTCACTTACATGGTTGTACCTTAGAGCCTTCCCTTCAGTCTTTTGCACTCCTAGCTTTTATCTCTTCAGACTTTTCCTTGGGTTCTTTCCTGAGCTCCAAATCAGACACAATATGAACAACAGTGGTGAGGCATTGAGCCCGTGCGTGTGAGAGGCTAAGTCTCAAAGGACTAGTTGATTTCTCCTGGCTTCCTACCTCAGAATGTTGTGAGGACTGATGAAAAGATGAGTTTGATCAGTGAAATCTTTTCTCAGACAGAAGGTCCCGCGATTATCAGGAATGCTTCTTAGTTTGTGAGTTCTCTGTAGGTAGCATGGGTCACAAGTAGAATTTTCTCTTTCTATGTGGGAGACCCTGCTTCGAAACTGGCCCCTTTCTTTTCCTACCCTTTTAGAGTTTTTAATCCACGTGCAGGAAACTAAATTATACGAGGGGACTTCGAAAGTCTGTGGAAAATTAGAATGAAAAGATAGTGGAATTTTTCCAGGAACTCTCTGAAACCTCTTCATATAGATGCTGAGTCAATTAAGATCAGGTCTTCTTAACATTTTAAATTTGAGATAAAATCTTAAGTACAGTAGAAGTAGAGTGGAAAATCAGAACAAACAAACAAAACACTTGTATCTGTGGGGCCAAGCAAACTGCAAATTGCGTTTGCAAACTGGTTATAGAAAATTACAAGTTCTGGTAGAACTCAATTTCTTCACAGCTCTGCTCCCTTGGCCCCTGGCTATGGCTGTGCCTCCCTTAAGCCTAGTCTCCTGTGGTTTTGCTCTATTTTTGGTCCCTAGGGGCATCTTCAAAACTCCTGCCACCCACAGAGCACTCCCTGGTGAGCAGTGCCAGGTCACCAGGGTGCCCAGTAAGTACCAAGTGATGAGGATGATTCATCTCTCTGCCAGTTCAGGAGACTATTTGCCAACCTCATTATGTCACAAAATGGATTTGCTTGTTACAAAGGGACTTTTGAATCCTTAATGCCACATTTGTCACATAGGACATCTTACAAGCCACAAATTGTAATATCAAAGCCCTGGTACAAGTTGAATCCAAAGACAAAACTTACCTTTTTGCTCTCATCTCTAAGCCAAAGAATGGAAAAACAGAGCTCCCCGGGTGTAAATGGCAACAAGGTTAGCCGCCTGCACGTTTCCTTTATAGAAATGAGCTCTGTGTCAGGAAGAGAAGTCTGGTTTATATTTATCACACATGCTGCTTCTTTACCCATAGAACAGAAGTGAAATATGGGCAGGTTGGATGGTTATCCATTTATGTGCTAAGTGCTGATTTTCTATTGCTTTAAAAAAGTTTTTATTATTCCATTCTTCCTCAAAATAACTGTGGTTCTTCCTAAACCTCTGAAATAATAAATACGCCACCTGTTAGCTGAGAAATCGTCCCATCTGGGTACTTGCCAAGAGATAAACCCTAACGGCAAGAACTCATCACTGGGTGACAGCTGAGCAGGTTCATTAAATCTCATTTGTTGTGATACTTTTTTCTGTCTTTTAAGTACAAATCCAACAGCTTTGCTCCCAGCACAGCATAGAGTGGCTGCATTGCTCTGAAATGTTGTAGGGAGTTAGGTTGGCTTGGAGTCCACAGGAGTCTGAGTCTTGGTTAACATCTTATCAGCCCCCCCCCCCCATCCCTTGCTTATTTTTCTGTCCTTTCACATGTGGCCACTGTACTAGCAATGGAGACTGCAGTCTGGGAACTGAGGGCCACCCAAGATCATGGCACTGAGGACCAGTGGGGGTGGGGTGGGGCAGCCTGCTTTGGGAATGAAGCTTTAATTGTTCTGCTCTGAGATTCAGTGGGTTCCTGATTGTTTTGCTAATGAACATTATCCAACACTCTAAGCCCAGGTTCCAAAAATCATTTCCTTTTTCCCAGTGTTGAGGAGATCTTTAAAGTGGTTTGTTGAGTTGAATGTGTGCAGAAAGAGACATACTAATTGTTTCAAATGATAATATCTACCGATTTGAACATTCATTATGTGCTTGTCCTTTCACTCAGCGTTTAATTTTTTTTAAAGTTTTTATTGTGAATTGAGTGATGGTTTACGTGGGAGAACATTGGTTTTACACTCATTGTTTCATTGCAATGATTACAGTCCCCTCCGTGCATCATCATTCAACAGTATTTGCTTCTATTCCACTGTTTGTTGTTGTTGTTGTTGTTGGGGTGGGGGGCATATACACCAAAACACTCAGGAATATATAATCATTTAAACAACCAAAGGGCACATTCTGCAAGCCTGCTTCCTGGCCGCCAGCACACAGCCTTTCTCTTTCCATGAGTCCAGAATCCTCAGCTGCTCCCTCTCTCCATGTCCTCATCTCTGCCTCCATCTCTGGTGTCATTGTTTCTCTGGATAGGGTCCCACATTCCATTCATGCAATTCTCCCTTGATAGTCCCAGGGTCCTCTGTTCCTGGATTGTAAGATTACCTGTTGTTGCTGCTGTTGTTGTTACCTGCTGTGGAGTCGATTCCTGTACAGGGTTTCCGAGGCTGTAAATCTTTACAGGAGCAAAAATCCCATTCTTTCTCCCACGGAACAACTGATAGTTTTGAATTGCTGACCATGAGACTAGCAGCCCGATTCGTTAATGACTACACTACCAGAAAGAACACCTACTACCCCCTTTATGTTACAAAACTTCTACCTCTACAGTTGTGACAATCACAATTAGTCATGATAACATTACTCACTATTGAATCATAAGAATCTTATCCCCATCTCCTTTCATCATATCCTTCTAGATAAGATGAAAACTGTTCAGTGGGAATTCTACCTTCCCCCACACACTCTGAAACTAAATTCCTTCTTGAAAACTTGTAAGCCAGTCACTTCATGCCTTTATAGCCTCTCTCCCCCACTCCTATTTTAGGTAGCTAGTGTCTTAAGTTGCCCGTCCCTATCACCCCTGTATACAGAGGGGATAGGATGAAGACGCCTTCCCTCTCAGTTGGTATTTTGAGCTACTACACCCATAAGTATAGGTCAAGTTCATCAAATTATAGCAATTTATACTTGTTTCCTTTATCAAATTTTTTAATTTTCTTTTAGTCGAGTTGTGATCTTCAAGCCATTGAAGCTAGGTCACCATTCACTCAGCTTTTGTTCAAATTAATATATTGTCTCATTCAAACTTAACAGCACTCCCGAGAGAGAAGTCCTTGTGTGACACTGTAAGATAAGCACCAACCGCAAGGTCAGTGGTTCAAACTCACCAGTTGGTCCTCGGAAACCCCATATAGGGTCGCTATGAGTGGAACCAACTCAGTGGCATGTAACAACAATAATTGTACTGGTGAGGAAACTGAGACTGAGAGGGGTCTGTTTATTTATTTGATAAATTTATTTAATTTATTTATATAATAAACAGAGGGGTCTGTTTATTTATTGCTCAAGAAGCAACTGTGCTGAGATTTTGAGCCCAGATGATCCTGTGGTGCGAAGTTTAGCTATTTACCAGAAGGTTGGAGGTTTGCGTCTACCCAGAGGTGCCTTGGAAGAATCAGCCAATGAAGACCTTCTGGAGTCCTGTTCTACTCTGATACTCATAGTTGTTGTTGTGTTGTTAAGTGCCATCGAGTTGGTTCCGACCCATAACGACCCTGTACAGGGTTTCCGAGGGTGTAAATCGTTACGGGAGTAGAAAGCCTCATCTTTCTCCCACGGAGCGGCTGGTAGTTTCGAACCGCTGACCTTAAGGTTCGCAGCCCAATTCGTAACCACTACGCTACCAGAGCTTCTTAGAGTGGGGATCAACTGAACAGTAACTGGTTAACTGGTGTCTGACTTTCAAAGGCCTTTCTTAAGCACGCCCCCAGTCAGTGAGAGAATGACTACTGTAAAGTGCTAACTTAGAGGGGCACGCTAACACAGCACGGCTGCTAAGGGCTCTGAAGTCCCAGACCTGTGTTGGAATCCTGTCCTACCACTTCTAGTTGTATGAGGTTATTTGATCTCCCTGAGCCTCAGTTTCCACCCTTAACAAAATGTTGTTGGCTGCTGAGCCTCCCACAGGAATTGTGTGCTTGGAAAGGGAAGGGAAGAAATCAAGGGTGACTTCAAAGAGAATCGGGGCAGCTGGGTGGGAAAGACTGAGAGAGAAAGGACTTTGTGGGAGAAAACCTAAGACTTTGCTTTGGATAGGGATGTCTAAGTGGCTTTGTCATTAAAAGCATATTGTAGGGAATGAATGTGATGATGCATGTAGAACAGTGGATGTAAAACTTAACCTGGAGCCTGCCAATAGCCTGTGCTTAGTAAATGCTGTTGTTGCTAAATGCTGTTGAGTCCCTTCCATGTCATAAGACCCTGTTGAGGACTTCCAAGGGGGTAGCTGGTGGATTTGAACCACTAACCTTGTGGTTAGCAGTACAGTGCTTATCTTACAGTGCCACACCAGTAAATGTTAGGTGCTTTTATTAACAGTAAAACGCAAATCAAACCCTTAGCCTTCGGATGGATTCCAATTCCTGGACATGCCATGTGCTGCAGAGCAGAACTGTTCCAAAATGTTCATTTGCCAGGCCTTTCTTCTGCAACACCACAGTGTGGATTAACACTGCCAACTTTTAGGTTAGCAGTTGAGTGCAAACTGCTTGCCCCAATTGGGAAACTTATTAACAAGTAGTGTTCATTTTATAGAACCCACTTCTTTGGATGAATAAGCTTTGTGAAATGTGTCTGATAAAATGTAGTCATATATATTTTTTTAAATTATTTGTCAAGCCTTATTATTAAAGTTCTGGAAGGGTATTCAGTGATCAGAATGAGATAGCTTAGCAGACCTTCTCCGCAAACCCTCAGGCCCCCACTGTTTACAGAAACAGTTTTCTGTCCTGATGTTATATTTCTGATGTGTGAATGTGTTTTTGAGAAAAATACGT